GGGGGGGGTGACGAACAACTTGTGTAGATCGATACAGCAGGTGTAGGAGCCGTTTATTGTAGGACAGGAGCGGTATATATACATTCCACACAGCTTATCTAATTAACATAAACTCGATACAGCAGTCAACCAATAAGGAATCTCCACACTTAATGGCTCGCTGGCGTTACTTCATAAACCACTCCCTCTGGTGAAAAGCCAGGCGCCATCCAGACTTGTTTACAGACTCTAACACCAGTTGAAAACATAAACATTTTTATTTTGATAACACACACTCACTCTCTCTCAATCTCTCTCTCTCTCTCTCTCTCTCTCTCTATATATATATATATATATATATATATATCTCAAAAGGAGAACACCAAACATAATTTTTTTAGCACAAAAAAGCAGCCATAACAAGGCACAGAGAGCAGAAACATATATTAGAAATCAAAGGGTTAGGGCTGGGGTTATGGCTCAGAGGTACAGGCGTTTGCCTAGTATGTGTGAGGCACTGTGTTCCATCCTCAGCACCACATAAAAATAAAAATAAAAAATAAAGGTATTGTGTCCACCTACAACTAAAAAATAAATGTTTTTTTAAAAAAAGAACCAAAGGGTTAGTGTTGCATGCAAATATAGCTTTTCCTTTTTTGGCAATAGCTACAGGGATGTAAAATAACCTTCTGTAGCAGCTGGTAAGGAAACTAAGGAGCACTCCCCAGCAGCATAGAGCACATTAACAAAAAGACACAAGAATGGATTTGGCTACTGTAGTGCAAAATGTCTAGGACAGAATTGAAAATTCACTTCAATACTAAGAAGTAACCACTAGAACTTGATAATACTTCCCAAAGCGCTCACTCAAGTTGTATTACATACTAAAGATTATTTACAGAAACAATGGTTATACAGTAACTTTTAAATCTGCAATTTAGGTTTCAGATATTCCCATTAATAATTAACTACAGGGCTGGGGATGTGGCTCAAGCGTTAAAGCGCTCACCTGGCATGCACCGGGCCCTGGGTTCGATCCTCAGCACCACATAAAAATAAAATAAAGATGTTGTGTCCACCGAAAACTGAAAAATAAATATTAAAAAATTCTCTCTCTTTCTCTCTCTCTCTCTCTTTAAAAAAAAGAATCAACTACACTAAAACTCTATTAAATTACACCTAAGTGATTCAGCTATGAGAGTTTCCAACAAAGATAAATACTGCCATCCAAATTATTAGCTATAGTTTAACAATAATCTCAATACCAGCAACCACTGTAGTTACTATTATCTAACTTGTTTTTCTAGTCTCATTTTCTTTGTGGTTCACAAACTCATCCTGAGCATAAGAAAAGATCAAACTTTAATGGAACAATCTTTAGATTGAACATGTCAACTTAAAAAAAAATCACACACAAGACTATAATTGTGGCAGCTATTCCAAATACCTGCTTTGAGTTCAAGCACTCATTTAAAAAAAAATAATAACTAAGGCCTTTAAATAAAACTCTACTACTAACTTTATAAGACTGAAATTTTAGGAACAACTATTTAGAAAATACGGTTTACTATGCACCTTTTGCATAAGAGAAAAGGAGACTGACTATAAATGATGTCAACATTTAAGTGAACTGTACTATGACCTCGTGGCCAGAAAATTGCAATTTTCCTAAAAGGAAGGCAGTCTTAATTTATTTATTTATTATTGTCTTCTAAAGCTTATAAATACAAACATCACTACTTTGGGAAGGTTATAAAAAATTCTTAGAAAAAAATAATTTCAAATATTAGTCAACTGCTGAAATACTCATCTACTATTAAGTTGTTCTTTAATAAGAAATAGAATTTTTTGGGACTGGGGCTGTAGCTCAGCGGCAAAGTGCTCACCTAGCATGTGCGAGGCCCTAGGTTCGATCCTCAGCACCACATAAAAATAAATAAATAAATAAAGATATTGTGTACAACTACAACTAAAAAAATAAATATTTTTTTAAAAAAGAAAAGGAATAGAATTTTTCATAGCACATGCCCCAGAGTTGCCTCAATTAATTACTATAGCCATTAAAAACCAAACTCGGCTAAATGGGCAAATATTTTCCTAGCCTTACTAAACATCTGCAGCTCTATCCTGTTGTTTCAATAGGCACCACATTTGTTTGAGTAACAGTTGACTGCATCCGACGAAAATTAATAACTAAGCTTACACACACATGAAAAACCAAACACTGATACTGTGCTTCCTATACATGTACTGTCTGATGCACATGAAAACAGACCTAGTTAATGCCCTTTAGGGACAGAAGAGTTTACTTTTCCTTGACTGGTTCTCATTCTAACCAGCAAACTCTAACTTTTTGTTTATAATGATCTCTTAAAAAAAAAAAAAATATCCGGGACTGGGGCTGGGGCTCAGAGGTAGCACACTTGCCTGGCATGTGTGAGGCACTGGGTTCTCAGCACCACATGTAAAGAAATAAAATAAAGGTCTATCAACAACTAGAAAAACATTTTAAAAAAGAATCCTGTAACATCGATGATAGAGGGAGACCATCAATTCCATCACATGTAGTCCACCCACAGATCACTGCACGGCAGATATAATGCAGGCTGAAAAAAAAAATAAGCAGCAAATTATTAAAGAATTTATCAAGATTTTCAGCTATAAAATTAATAGCATTTCAATACACCAGAACAACCAATAAGAAATACAATAAAATCAGGAAGTATTCACCATAAACAAAAAACTTATAAAGCATGTAGTGATTAACTTAATTGAGAATTTATAGAAAAATTTAAAACCCTAAGAAGTTATTGAATATGATTTTAAATAACAGCCATTTTGTGTTCTTGGGGAGGATCATAATCTTATAAAGGTATCAATTGCCCCCCCATTAGTCTTGAATTTAATTTCATTTGAAACTCCACTTGACCTTTTTGAAGAAACTTATAAATTTACTTTAAAAAATATATGATAGAATTAAAATAATAAAATAAAAAGTATATGATAGAATAAAATCATCAAATAGCTAAGCAAACCTTCAGAAAAGAATAATATAAAGGAGAGACTCATCTAAAGAAATACTAAGACCTTCTATGGAACTAACTGGGAAAAAGACTTATTATAAATCTAATAGTCATTTTTAAAACAAATTGACAAGGGAACAGAGGTATAGAAATAGCTGAAAGATAAACCCGTAGATTTATGGAAATCTAATATGCATTAACTTGGCACCACAAATTAATAGAGAAACTATGGATTGTAACAGATGTTATTCAAAACAAAGTTTACTATATAAAGAAATATAAAACCAGATCCTGACGTAATGCCACATACAATAACAGACTACAGGCAGGTTGAAGTGAAAAGAGAAATGTGAAACTTTTATAGAATAAAATGGAAAAAATTATCTTCGTGATTAGTAGCAAAGAACTTATTCAAAAATATAAAACTTCAAAAACCATAATTGGAAATATTTTATTATCTAATTAAATTAAAATTTAAAAAAATTTTAATGAAGGGGACAGAACTTACAAAAAAGAGAATGAGAAAGAGTATTTGCATTATCTAAAACCAACCAGGGGTTTGGGGATGTGGCTCACTGGTAGCGCATTTACCTATCATGTACAAGGCCCTGGGTTCAATCCCCAGCACTGCAATTAATAAATAAATAAAACCAGGGATAATATCCAGAATATTCAATGAACTACTGGAAATCAGTAATTAAAAAGTTAGCAACCCCTAGAGATAAATGTACCAAAAGACAACCTCGTACCTATTAGACTGGAAAACATTGCCAGATGATGACAAATGTTGATGAGGAAATAGGACTAAGAGAAGCCCCTCACACTGCTAGTAAAAATATGAACTGGTGCAACCGTTCTGGGGAGAATTTTCTGATGCTTGATCACATTATGTGCATGAACACCCTATGATCAATAACCTCACTCCTGGGAAAATGCCCGCATCTCCTATTATACGTGTCCACAAGGAGACCTCTCCTACTGTAAGGCAGCTATTTTAAACACCTTGTGGTGTCAGGAGATGGAGACAATCCTCATGTCTACCAGAGAGAAGGCAGGAGAAAGGTGTGAATGGCCACCCTGGAGCACCAGGAAGAAGCCAAGAGCACTGCATTAAATGCACCCATAGTGACATGGATGGATCTAGAAAACACAAAGCTAGGAAAACAATAGAATGAGCTTTTAGCACAAAACTGCTCAGTTAAAATCACACACACACACAAACAATACAAATCTTGCAAGAATACATATAACAAAGAAATATACATAAGGCACATTAGAATGATTGTCTTTAGTGAGAGGAAAGAAATTGGAAGCAGGAAATGAAATAAATTATAATGAATACAGAGGAGATTTTATATAGACTGATGATGACCATGTACAATGAACTGAGGAATAGAATTAATTCCACCATTTGCATCTGAGGTTAAAATGAAATCAACAACTCAAAGAAAATCATAGTTCTGAGAGCAATTTTCCTTATATTTTCATGACAAATATTAGCTAATTCCCCCATTTTTCCCATACAACTAAATAAACAGGAAACAAAGCAGTCAATTGAAGATCAAGATTTAGAAAGGGAAGGTAAGAACTAAGAATGATTCAGGCTAGGATTTTGGCTAAGTGGTAGAGAGCTTGCCTCACATATGTGAGGTACTGGATTGGATCCTCAACACCACATAAAAAAAATAAATACACAAAATAAAGTTATTTTTAAAAAAAGAAGAAGAATGATTCTTACAGGGCTGGGGTTGTAGCTCAGTGGTAGTGTGTTTGTCTAGCATGTGTGAGGCACTGGGTTCAATCCTCAGCACCACATAATAAGTAAATAAAAAAAGGTATTGTGTCCATCTACAACAAAAAATACTTTAAAAAAAAAGAAAAGAAAGAATGATTCTTATATTCATTCCTACATTTGCCTCTCTCCACAGTGCATTTGTGGGGTCAGGGGAGATTATTATAAATCTTTTGGAATGTAAAAAACATGTTTTATTTTATATAACAAGCTAGAATATATGGATTTGTTTTGGTCCTCCTTAAATTATTGAGTCTGCAGGCTATGGATGTATATTGTGAAAAGAAGAACATTTTCACTCACTGGACTTACGCAGAAGCATTGGAAATTGGCTCACAATATTCAACTTTACCCAACAAGGAACATGACAGAGTTCCATGTATAGTATGTGTAATACAGAATGTATGCTCTCAAAAATGCAGAGATAAAATATAGAGATTCCATTCTCTATAAAATGGCTTGTATTTGTCAGGAGAAACAGAACCAATAGAATGAATAGATTGAGAGATGGTTTGGGTTTTGTTTGCATTGCTTAGTATCGAACCCGGGCCCTTGCACATGCCAGGCAAGTGCTCTCTCATGAAGCTATGCCCCCAGCCCTAGAGAGATTTATTTTAAGGAATTGGCTCATGTGTCTATGGAGACTGGCAAGTTCAGAATCTACCGGGCAGGCTGAAGACCCAAGGAGGAATAGATGTTGCAGCTGAAGCCTGAATGGAGTGTGGAGGTAGAGTTAGTTCCTTGTTCCTTGGAGAATGTCAGTCTTTCTTAAGGCCTTCAACTAATTGGAAGACCCACCTACATTGTGGAGGGTAATCTGCTTTGCCAAAGATGTACTGATTTAAATGCTGAATTTATCTTAAAAAAAAAAAAATACCTTCACAGCGACATCTAGACTGGTAGCAAACAAATGGGTACCATACGCTGGCCAAGTCAACCCATAAAATTAGCCATCAAGGGCACAAAGTGAAACTTTAAGGTAAATGTGGCAGGAGTGTTGATTAAGTGAACTGCTACAGTCATCCATGAAGTTTCAGATTGGCCTCCCATCCAAGGAGACCTGTGACAAGATAGAATGGTACCAGACAAACTCTGGGTGACTCAGTTGAGGTTTCTGTCCGGACCATCATAGGCTGGCTGCTTCTGACTGCCCTAGAGAGCACAGAGAGGAGAAAGAATAAATTGAAAGCTTTTAATCCAACTTGAGACATGAATGAAAAGTTTAGAAGTTTCTGTGGCCATCTTAAGGGAATATTTTTATCCTCAATGCAGCACAGACAAGGACGAGGGCCAGCCCAGGGTCTACTGTTGGCTGCGAAACTCCACAGGGGCCCTGATGCTAAGGTACAGCCACTGCTGAGTTGGGTCTAGATCCTGAGATATGAACTGAGAACACAGGAGCAGATCCAGAGAAGTCTGAGGACCATGAATCACCAAACCCCTCCATGAATATCCCACTAGCGAAGGAGACTCTGGTATTATCTGCTGCTGTCTAATAAATGAGGCCAAAAGCAAACATTTTCTATGGGGCATTACTGGTGCAATAGGGACAATTTTAATAGGACTATATGTTTGGTAATATTGTATCAAGTTTATCTGATGATGGTATTGTGATTATGCAGGAGAAATGTCCACGTTCTTAAAATGTACATGACAAAACATTTAGGGGTGAAATGTCATACTGTCCATAAATTACCCTGAAATGGTTTCACAAAATAGTTCATCAACAATAAATGGATAAATAAAATGTTGCTTATTCATACAACAGAATACTACATAAGCAATTAAAAATTAATGAACAACTGATAATACTACAACACGGATGACTCTGTCAGAAATAATATTGAGTGCCAAGCACCAGTGGCACATGCCTATAATCCCAGCAACTCAGGAGGCTGAGGCAGGAGGATTTTGAGTTCAAGACCAGCCTCAGCAACTTAGTGAGACCCTGTCTCAAAATGAAAAATAGAATGGACTGGGAATGTGGATCAGTGGTAAATCACCCCTGGGTTCAATCCCCAGTAACAAAATAATAATAATAATAATATCAAGTGGAAAAGCCAGATACATACACAAAAAGCATACTGTTTATTTCAGTTATCTATGGCTATTAGCAAACCACCCCCAAACTTAATGGCTTTAGACTAAAGAAAAAAAAATTATTTTATCCTCTCTTGTGAGTCTGTGAATTACCAGACCTCTAAGAAGCACTGACACAGCCCATGAGCCAAACTGCCTTTTCATGGTAGCCCAACACTTCACCCAGCACTCACAGTGTTTGGGGTATGGACTCTGATTATATCTCCTGGGTGTCCATCAGATTTGGACACCATTAGAGTCCTCTGAAGTAGCTCCTACCTTATGAGTCCTGCCTCTCTAGGGTAGAAATCAGAAAAATCACTTCCCCAAATCCTTTTTGAAGTTAGGACAAAAATACAGGAACTGAGTCCCATCAATCAAATTCATCCACCTGAGTCTTCAATTCAAAAGGAAGCAACAGGAGGAAAAAGCATCCAACCTGTATTCATTTTGCTGGCAAAGGCCAATGGAAATAAAGAAGCAGCAACTGGCTTTTGCAGAAGCGATGGTAAAAAGATGAAGTTCCTGGAACAGAAGTGGTTTAGCTGGTGCCTGCAGTAGTGGCTGCAAGTAACGCACAGTTCCTAACAGAAGAAGCAGCAGCATCTCAAGCCCCGGGGGGGGCCACAGCACTGAGGAGGTTCAGCACCCTCGTTCTGTGTGTGGTTTGGGACTTCCCACTTCACAAGAGGAGCCTCCCATCCGTTGTTCTAGCACTTCCTTTCCAAATGCCTAATTCTGAAACAGATGTGTTTACTAGACTTTTCAAAGTTTTATCAAAATCATTAATGAGGGAACCAGGAAGAATGCAAGAGACTTGATTCAAAGAGTATCATGAAAACAGAGAAAGATGAAAAACAGGAAAAACTGCTGCTAGCCATTCAGCATGGTTAATGTACTACAGGGTAATAAAATCCCAACCTTCATGTTATCTTCTCTACAGAGAAAAGGCAAAAGCCACCATCCCTTATCAGCTCTCTACCAATTAGCCTCTAATTGTGTAGGCTGGGTTGATAGAGCTGGCCTCTTTTAAGCAAGTTATAATCACTCAGATGTTGAGGCAGGCTATTGAAAAAAGATTCAAGTATGATATTAAACAATCAAACAGGCACAATTTCACCTTATTACTAATCTGAAACATTTTTTTTCCTACACAATTCCTGACCTTAAGGTACAGAAATGTTCTAATTCAGTTTCATTAATTTTATAGTCTCTTCTAGTTTGGCCTGCTTTAGAATTCAGAAATAAAGACTTCCTTGTTGTATAATTAACAAAGCAAAAATCTTATCAGATTAAGGCTAGAGAGTTCACATCTGCCTGAAAGGCTTTGTTCTATAAGGTCGTAATTTCACTCACTTCAGTCTTAACCAGGATGTGTGTGTATGTGTGTGTGTGTGTGTGTGTATGTGTGTTTGCATGTGTGCATGCTGGAGATGGAACCCAAAGCCTCCTGCAAGCTAAGCACACCTTCTACCCCTGAGCTTCACCCTCAGCCCACAAGGTATGGTGTGTGTGTGTGTGTGTGTGTGTGTGTGTGTGTGTGAGTGTGTGTGTGAGATGCTGGGCAAGCACTCTACCAACTGAGCTATATCCCCAACCATTAGGTATGTTTTTACCCCCCCTCATCAACTCATTTATTCTGAGAAACCTCCCCTAACTCATCTCTTCAGAGTTTTGCTTGTAGTCTATCTCACCCACAGCCCGGATGTCCCAGGACAATGGGGTAGATTGCAGACAGGCCAAAGAAGTGCTTATAGACAGCAGAGAAGTTCAGGGCGACAGGCAGATCACACCTCCATCAGTCACTCAGGGTACTGTGCCATGTAGTGCCTCCTCTCCCTCGCGGTGTTTTGTCCTCCCTCACCAGCTGGATGAGCAGCACATGTCCGTTCCACGGTGCCCTCAGTTCCACACCTGTCCCCACTCCTAAAGATGGGTTTTATATATTAAGGTACAGAAGCAGGGACATCTCCAGCATTAGCTTGCTTGTAGGACCAGCATCCCCAGGAGCAGGTGTCCTGGTATACATGCCAGAAAGTAGCTTTTTCCAGATAACACTAACTTGCCCTAGTTTCTGGTGTGCCCATCAGCAAACCAGTGTCCTTCAAGATAATATATATATGAACTTTCTAACCCAAGCCTGCTTTTATTGTTCCCTTAACTTGGGTAGGTTTTTGGAAACAAAAAGGAGACCTTCAGGGACATGTTGTTTTACTGTTCTCCTTTGCTTTAAGGACAATACATAGTCCCTATCTATGGAGGAAATCCTATTTCTCTGAGTTTCCCAAAATTCACCAGTGATCCTGGCTTATCAAAAGTAAGTTTTTTCCACCTATCAGGTGGGGACTCCTATAAACCAGTACCTAGGAGGACTTTGTAAGCCTTGTTTCCACATATGAACTACAGTCTTTGCTCTCTAATAATTTAATGCCCAAGTAAATGAGATTTCTTTTAATGTAACAGTTCTGGTATCTCAGGGCTCCAAATTTGTGGCTCTCAGGATCACTGAACCATTGCATGTTACTACATTTTTTGTAAAAACAAAGTAACCCATAAAAGGCACTTTGCATATTTTCAGAAAATAACTATGTATCAAATTTTCTATAGAAAAATCATCATAAATTCTATCAATGATGCTATCTATAAAATGTTTCATAGTTTATAGATGTATGGTGCTTATGAAAAGCAAAATTGTACTCTATGCTCTTTAACAAAGGATAGCAAAGATTTTCCTAACCTTAAAATATTTTAAAAGCATTTGTCAGAATTCCAATTAATAAGGTCCATAATCATGCTTAATTTCTCCTAAGTAATCAATAGACCTCGTAATCTACATTAATATTTATTATAGGATATTTTTCCAGAAAAACTGGGTCCATAGGAACAAGATACCATTCAAGAACATTTGACTTAGTTTCCACAAGCATAGGCTAAAGCTGAGAGTTATAGATAAATAAAAGAAAAAAATACAGGTTTTCTTATGCTCATCAGAAAATAGAATAAATATACATATGTGTGTATGTATTCTCCACAATATCAAGAGTCATGCACCTCTGAGGTTTCCCTTTTCTGTTGTTTCTCTCATGAAACCCAATTTTTGATGACTAGATCATAGCAGAAGTCTTCAGGCAAACATAAGGGGAAAGCAGAAAGCATCTGTTTAAGGCAGGACCAGATGCCTCTGTTTAATTTCTCATAGTTACCAGCAACAGCAGAACAGAAGAGCAGAATCTTCCAAGGGTCATTATTTCACCAAGACTTACTAGTCCTTATTCCAAAAGTCAGAGCACATTGTCTACAAGGAGGGCATTGACCACTTTCCATGATCTTCTAACCCATCCTACAAAGTATGATTAAGATTCCTATCAGTTCACCAGAGTGTTCTAAACCAATAAATAAAATCTTCCTAAAAATAAATGTATTCACAGCCACCATGCCAGACATGCCCTTTTACTCTTCTGAAACTCATGCAGTCACTAAATATACATTAATATTATTTTTACCTCAAAAAAAAATTTAACACAAGAAAGTTGAACTCCTGTTTTTTTCAGGCTTTTTTCACATTGTATGTTGGGTTTGATATACAGGATAGCTCTTTTAATAGTATAGAATTAATTTTAAAATACAGGAATCACCGCCAAACACACCTAATTTGCTTCCAGCTTCCTTTGGTTTATAAAGCAAAAGATTAGGCTTTTAGTGCCACCTAGTGGCCAAGTGGGCAGGTGCCACTTAATGAGAAAAAGGCAAGATTGGGGAGTGTAAACTTGACAGTTTTAGTGTTCTGGTTCAGGACATGGGTTTGAGGAAGGCAACAACAAAAAGGAATTTTCAGAGGAAAAAAGACACTTAATTAAGATAAGAGCACAGGTACATGACAGTGAGCAATTGTAAGATTTTTCTATCTCAATAATCAGAGTAAGAATAATGCTTTTTAAAATAAATATAAACAAGGTATTGATAATTATCAGAAGTTTTGAGTTCTCAGAAGAAAATTTTCTGGTTGTTGTTGTGGATTTATCCATCCATCTATCTATCTATCTTTCTACCTACCTACCTACCTATCTGTCTATTTATCTGTCTATTTATATGATACCAGAGATTGGCTCCAGGGGCACTTAACCATTGAGCCACATCCCCAGCCCTTTTTATTTTTTATATAGAGACAGTCTCACAAGGTTGCTGAGGCTGGCTTTGAACTCTCGATCCTCCTTCCTCAGCCTCCTGAATCCCTGGGATTGCAGGCATGAGCCACTGTGCCCAGCTATGTGTTTTTTAAATTATTTAAGAACAGAAATATGAGCACAAAGCACTAAAAGTTATCAAGATATTGAAAGAGTGTTCTAATAAGAAAGTTCTGCTTAATTGAGTAGATTCCACTAAAAGAAAAAAAAAACTTTTCTACCTCTAAGAATACACTGAATATTCCAAAACCAATTTTGAAGGACAGATTCCCTTCTCTTTCTTTTCTTTTTTTTTTTCCTTATTAACTTTAATTCACTGTTTGGTAGGTTTTTTGTTGTTTTTGTTTATGTTCTTTTGTGGTGCTGGGGATTGAACCTAGGGCTTCATGTATGCTAAACAACTATTCTACCACTGAGCTATACCGATAGGACTGTGTGTATTTTAAACATGCAGAAATATACATATAATTGAATGACAAAACTCTCAACTTTAGCTCTAAAATACAATGAACTTTATCAGTGCAATGCACTAATGTACATATCACAATGAATTTACCACCTTAATTTGAGATTTGCCAAAAGTCAATATGGACAAGAGTACATACATTTAAAAAAAAAATGTTGGTAAACCAATAATTTTTCTCCATATGAATGATTTCTTTGGAGGATTTTGCAAATAATTAAAAGTCAGTTATTAATTAACCCAATGTGAATTATTTCATAATTACAAAATCATTTGAAACTTCAAAGAAATATTATCATTATTAACATTAAAAATTTTCCAGGCCAGGCACAGTAGTGCACACCTGTAATCCCAGTGACTTGAGAGGCTAAGGCAGGAGAATCACAAGTTCAAGGCCAGCCTCAGCAATTTAGAAAGGCCATAAACAACTTAGTGAAACCTTATCTCAAAAATAAAAAAATGAAAAATGGGGGTGTGGCTCAGTGGTTAAGTGCCCAGTACCAAAAAGTAGTTTTCCAAAGAGGTACAATTTTAAAATTTTACAGAGTGTGTGAGTAACTAAGTCATTTACAGCATTTTCTCAAGTTTACAAAAGTCAACAAATCAAAGCACCTCTGGGCTGGGGCTACAGCTCAGTGGTAGAGTGCACATGCGAAGCACTGGGTTTGATCCTCAGCACTACATATAAATAACTAAATAGAGATATTGTGTCCATCTACAACTAAAAATAAACATTTTTTAAAAATCAAAGCACCTCTTGTGATAGTTTAATTAGATTAGACGCATTCTATTTTTAGATTTTTCTCCCACAAATTGACACAAGGAATGAGTCTAATGACCAGTAACAAATCTTTTTTGTAAGTCAGGTGGTTTCCAGTTCTCTACTTCTGGCCAAAAAAAAAAAAAAAAAAAAAGAGCCTATTC